CTGCATTCCTCACCCTGTTCCAAGACATGCCTTCTTCATGGACGTGTCCTCTTGGAGCTCACGTTCGCTGTCTGTCTTATTCATGTGGTCCTGTGAAGTGTGCTGCTAAGCTGTGGTCATGATGAATTTAGCCCACAGTGACCCTGTCCTTGCAGGAACAGATCCAGGGTAGTTTATCCTGTCACCTACCAGTATTTGGGAAGTATTTTACAACTTTTGCAAAGAAAATAAGTGCTGGAAATACCTGATCTGTAGTGACAACCTCTGGACTTTACTACACATATAACACAATCTAATGTCCATCACTTAATGTATTTTTGTCTGTTCTCCAACCTGTGACAGGAAATTTCTCCCAGCCTTTTTCCAGTTTATAAAGCTTTCCCCACCATCTCCTAATTTTATGAAGTCTCCAGTTCCCAAGTGCTGTTGGTATTTCCAGCTCTCAGAGTTTCTGTGACAGAGAGAGCCCTGTCTTCCAGGGGATGCAGTACCTGGTAGATCTGATGGAACAAGCTGGGGGTCACAGCACCCAACCCTGGAGGGTACCTTGACTCTGGACCTTGGCACAGGCCAGCCAAAAAATAATCCCACCTTCCCCCCTTCTAATTGTTCTTCTTACGTGATGCAGCAAACTAAGATCGGCACAACTCCCAGTGTTGCTTGATTTGCGGTCTAGAAAAAAAAAATTAAAAAATCAAGCTCCTCATTTCCATACAGCAAGTGGGAACCAGCAGCGCTTGGCAACTTTCTAGCCTTGGCCAAGGGCAAAGGAAATAGTTAATCTATCACTCCTTTGAAACACAAATCTCTCGGCTTCTCACCAGGGCAAGATCTGAGTCCCTGACTAACATTAAAGCACTCAGCTTAGGCCAATTTCGTTTCTCATTTTTCTGTTCTACTCTCTAATTTTATGCCTTTTTTTTAAGGTTTATGTGGCATCAACTGCTTCTCAAAACTATTCATTCTGTCCATTAGATTTACTAGCTGTTTACCTAACATGTTACCTAAATGTAATTAATACAGTATTCTGTTCTGGAAAAAAAAATCCAAGAGGTGATATCTCAAGAGTTTGTTAGATTTGTACAGTAGAAAAGGTATCCCCAGGCTCTGGGTGGGAAAGATGTCTCACTGATTACCCTCATTTTCTCCCAGTCACCTTTCTGCGCATGCAGGTCTTGCTGACCATTAGATATGAGGGGCGTGACAGGTTAAGGTGTAAATTTTAGGAACTTGTTTATGGTAAATAAGGTGTCACTGACAGATTCACCTCAGCCCCTTCGCAAAAGAGTTTTGTTTAGGAGAGATGCCCGGGACGAGGGATGGAGACACACACAGGACTCGGGGGCTGTTGGGACAGAGAAGCCCCTCTTGTCATCTCTGTGAAGGTTTGCAGTCCTGCTGCAAGCCTTCCAGAGGGAAGAATGACCTGGTGGTGGGAAAGGGCTTTTCTCTGGGACTGAACCCAACCCACGCCTGCTTTGAGGCTGTGGATTTCTTTAGTTGGTTCCTTGCAATAGTGTTTTGATTTGGGGAACTGACACACCTTGAGATGTGATATCACTTGTCTGATTGCAGCAGAAACTCTTCTGACCACACACCAGTGCAAGGCTTGCCAGCTCTCTGAGTTCAATTTTCTACGCTCAGCTTTGCAGTCCATGCTATATTGGCACACAAAACTGCACGTTAAAAGTGGCCAGTCTGTTTTCACTGAAAAAAAATCCCTCCTTCTGGTATTTCTGCTAGCATCAGTCCCCAGGACATAATCCCTAACGCAGGGAACGTGTTCCTCACTGATGTGCCAGACAAAAGTTCATGGCTTTGTCTTATTGAAAATGAAGTCTTGATTATTCATGCAGTTCCCAATGAGTCACTCCACACCCTTGAATTATTTCTGACAGATGTAAAATGCCTTCTGCTGAATTCCTACTCCAAAGAGCCTTTTGCATGACCGGTTTATCAGTGAATGTGAGCAGACTCATGATTTACAGTGCTTCATCATCATGGCATGTGAAATACTAAACATGATGACTAGGGAAACCAGACCCACCTATTTTTTGCCATAGGCTCAAAGCTTCCAAAATCTCCCAGCAGCCACACACAAGAGGCGTTCATGCCAGGCAGGTGTGTGCAGGCAGACCCTATATTACCTGGTGGATTTCAACACAGCTATGCAGATGAAAGAAAACTGATCAGCTGAGGGTATATGAATTCACTCCCAGGGGTGATACAGAGACTGAAGCACTAACCTAAAGGCCTGTTTCTGTCACTTTTCACCTTCTTGCTTTCTCTTTGCTGCCAAGAGCAGGCTTACCACTGGCTAAAATACTCAGCTGTGTTGCAAGTGATGGATGGTCACTGTCCTTGTGTGTGAGCAGTGGAGACCAGACGTCTTCAGCTGTGAGCTAAAGCTCAGTTCTGTTCCCTCAGCCTGCCTTGCTGACCTTACCTCCTTTAAGCTGGAAGTACACTCTTGGCTGTGTTTACCCACAAACAGGGTTAGCTCACATCGGTACACAGCCAGGAGACAAAGATAAACTTTCCTCCACAGCCTGCAGACGACGGGCGTGGGCTGTTTCCCAATCGCTCTGCGGCTTCTTCCTGAAATGGGGCATCCCCCAGCTGGCCTCAGGATTTTCACAAATCTGCTTTCTCCCACAAAGAAAAGCTCTTTTAGGGGCTCCAACATTGACTTTCTCCAAACCGAGAACCTCCTCCAAAGCAAGAAGGCAGTTGCAGTAAGGATGCCTTGAAGGGTACCGAAATCTTGGAGCTCCCCCTGTGACCCAACGCTGCTCTCGGGTGCAGCTCCACTGTGCACTGTTCCTTACCCATGGTAATTCAGCTGCAAACTTTGAGATAATGCTAACACCGAGAGGTTTAGTCTGAGCAGACGCCATCATTACCCTGTACATGGCACTGCACGTGTCTCACAACAAATGGTGTGATTTCTTATAAAAAGGAGCTCTGCTGAGCACTCACCATCAGGAAAGACCAGGTAGAAATCCCTGTTGCAGGCACCAGCAGCTGCAAGCATTTCAGTCACCTTCCCTAGCAGATGGACCATTCTGGCACAATATGAGGCGGAAGACATTACCTCTGCAATGTGAGATTTAAGGCTGAGATTCCACATTTTTCTCCCATGGAAATCTCTGTCACTGCAAAACACAACAACAGCATCCAAAACCATGTTAAGCACTCATTTTAGCAATTCTGAAATCTATTATTCATCTGGCTAATTAAAAAAAAAGTCCTCCTCCCTTCTTTTTATTCACAGATGGTCATGATGATACCTTTTGGTTAAATAATTAGTCATTTTTGTGTCAGGTTTGACTTGTTTTAGGGATTTAAACTGAGTGTCTCGTTCAAGGAAATCTGTAATTGAAATACAAATCTCTGTGCATCTGTGAAAGACTTCAAGATTTGTGCAGATGACCGAGTATGTGTTTTTAAACTTGTATTTTACTACCTTAAAGGCATTTGCACAGGACATTAGTAGAAGCTGGTATGTCATCTCTCTGTCTTGTCAGTAGATCCACTGGATTCTGACAGCTGAATAGAGGCTATTAATTAGAACTGCCAGCGTTTGTCAGACTTTTGTCAGGCTCTCTAGATAATTCAGTCTTATGCATTTCAAGCAGCTTCAGTGGGAATATGACCAAACCATTTGATTTCCCTCCTAAATTCTATGCCTCTCTTTCTAAGAAAGAGGATTTATTCCTGCAGTAATAATGCTTTACATTTTTGGGGGTCAGCGTAGCCCAGCACTGCATTAAGGAGTGCCCAGGTTTATGCTGACTCCTCGGGCTAGGAACAGCTGTGCAAAGGTTCTGGTATTAACTCCCCACCCTCATGAAGGTTACGTACGATAATGCCACAAGTTTTGCAGGAATAAAGAGCCTTTTTTCTTGCTTTTCTAAGGAGGATCTATGCTAGAATAAGCAAACAAAAATTGGACCTGATTTCACATCCCTCTGCTCCCACCGCTATCCTCACTGGAGTCAGTCACTCTGCTCCTGTGGACATAGGACGTGGTATAATGACTCTTGGCTATTCATTCTTAAAGGAGAAGTGTTATTTTTGCATGTAACTATGACCTATTTTTTAATTTTGCTACATATACAAATTTACTTTTTGAAGCACATCTATGAATCCTTTGAAATACATGTAATGCAGAGCAAATGATCGGCTTTAGAGGTATATTTAGAAAATGCCAGTTTTGTTTATTTTACATGTTTATAATCATCTCTGGTCGTATTATTGTTGATGATTTTCCACAGTAGCTTTCAAAGTAATGTTGGTTTGTCTGGATATCCAGCATTGCTACAAAGCACTTAAACTGTCAAATGCAAGAATAGTTGTTTGTTTTTTCTCACTACTACAGTCTAATACATATTTGAACCATGAGCCATCTCGCTACAGCTTCTGAAATCAAAGTAAAGCTAGATAATTTATATCATAGCACAAACATAGCCTGTAAAAATGGAGAAGTATCTTTCATGAATCCATAGCATGCAAATGGAGGGACTTTATAATACTTCCTCATTGTATTTTCAGCACATGCTTCCTTTTGTTTCAAAGGCACTTGAAAATAAAATTGTTTGGGTTGAGAGATTGGTTTGGGAAAAGATAATAACCTGTAGTCATAATGGACAGGTCTTTTATTATGCTGCTTACTTTCTAAATTATCCTCGTGAGAGCTTTCCCTTAAACATTTAATTATCTCTGCTCTTCTCTGCTCCCCAGACTTCTCTAATCAGTGGGGACTGAACTCAGTTTGTAAGTGGATTCTTATGGAAATAAAAAAATTTCATTGCTGGAGTAGAAACAACTTTTCTTTCCCTGTAGCTATACCATAGTTATTTTATAGATTTTATTTTTCTGTAAGAGATCATTTTATTTATTGTAGCTGAAGTAATACTAATAAATAATTTATAGTTTAGCACATAAATAATTTATACATTAAGCATATTGTAATTCTGTTTATTTATTTGTTTGTATAGCTTTTTACCCAACCTCACTGGAGGAAGGATGCTGATTTATAGAAAGTCCAGAATAAGATATTGTTTCAGCTGGAAAAAAATCTGGGAGACACACCACCATCAAGCTGCAAGACTGATCCACCCAAGCTCAGCCCCAGCTGGGAGTGCGATGGCTGGTGCCTGCCCCACTGCCGGGGGGCACACAGCCCTTCTGCAAGGTCAGCTCAGATGAGAAGCCTCTCACCACTGTTTGCTTATGCAGGACTTGGTGCAACAAACCTTGCCTTTCCCTTGTGCCCCCCTGCTTTATCCTAGCCCTGAACAGCCTCTGTTCACCAGCAGCAGGAGCTCTCTCTGGCACATTTTGGGTGGAAGCTCTCTCTGCACATTAGAATTCATATAATAACCATATCCTATCGTAGCAATATATAATTATATTAATTAATAGGATTACTCAGGGATTGTAATCTTCTCAGATAGTAGAAATGATTGCCACCAAGGAGTCTACACTTAAATGGCCCTACCCCTAAATGCCCCTGAAGGTATCCTTTGAGCACACTAGGAACCCCAGCACCCTGCTCTCAACTAGCCACGCTGTCAAGAACTAGAATAACTCACGTGGTAGCCAGGTTTTCTATTCTTGGTCCCTTCTCACGGGCCTGCCCAAGGAATGAGGGACTCTTGTCCACCCTTGGGCCACTTCATGTCAGGGCGAGGCTACCTGAGGAGCTTGCTTTTATTCTTGATGCAATGGTGGCATCTCGTAAGACCACTTGCTGTTAATTTCTGCACTGCATAACGCAGTGTAAGGGCTAAGTATAGTGTTCAAAGTGGCGTGAATAAGAGCACCTGCCAACGTTTGCATATATATGAGGTCAGTGGGTTTACATTCCTCCAGGTCAGAAAACAGAACAAGCGTGATCTCATCCCCATGCCAGTTTCTCCACATTACAAAGTCACCGCAAGACATGACGACACGTTCCTTCTCTGGGAGGATGGGACTGAGGGCTTGTCTGCACTGCTTGGAAGAACAAACTGGAAAGAACAGACACGCACAAGCAATCTCGAGGTAAGAATGCAGCAAAGAACAAGCACACTGGTTTTCCCACAGTATGAAACAGCTGAGCTCACAGTACACACCTCCAAAAAAACTTAAATGCATGGTCTTCACTATATTTTTATGATAGCCTTTCATGCTCCTTAGTAAAACCACACCATTTTTATGAGGGACTGCAAGATCTTAGCGACCACATTTGCTTGGTGTTTGCCCACCTGGTGGGCCAAAAAGGTCTCCCACTTTAACATGATATATACGATCTGGTGTCCAGCCGTGATGGGCAGTGAGGAAGAGGAAAGCAGACTAGGGAGGCAGCTCTGCAAAACCTCCACAGAGGAACTGTATTTTCCCACTCCTCATGTGTTATTCTGTGTGGTAATGTATTAATTCCTTAACTAAACTCATTTGATTGTTTTTATAACCCTTACTGATGTCAGTCTGAATATTACTGTTATCCTTATAAATACACAATCCTCTTTCTGAAGAAATTTTAGCCATCCAGCTAACATGCCCTATGACTTTGAAATCAGTACAGTAAATTCACCAACGGAATTGAAAATAAAATTAAGCTTTGGATGAAAGCTACACTATATACCCCTAAGGCTTATAAATTTGGTCTGGTCCAAGCTATAAGTACATGTCCCTAAAATTAGTATCATTCTGATGGTTTTTATATGTTTCTTAGACAGGACTAGAGAATTTCAGAGGCATACATATGCGTGTAAAATGAAGTTATGGTTATAAAAGCATGTCCTGGGTTAGGGAAACAAACATTCTGTCATACAGAGGTTTACATTAAGGATGGGAATTGCTCAAAATTGGTATGCGTAAAATGTACCTTTAAATTTTATTCACTTTGGCAATACCCAAAGGATCAGACTGCATCTTGCACACCTTTGCTCTCTGTAAGCAAGCTTGCTGTGACACAATCTGTCTCGAGCGGACACAGCCCTGCATTTAGCTCTGGGTCTGGCCAGGGTGTATCCAGCTCTGACGGGCAGCAAACGGCCAAGCTGATGTTGGCACAGGGCTTGGCCCCAGCTGCAGAACCTGCTGTGTGTACCTGTGTGGACGGCCACGCTGTAACAGATGATGGAGAAATTTTTCTGCTGCAAGCATGCTGTAAGGCCACCATATGCACGGATCTGTCCTAGGGAAGAGTGAGCAGCAAAGAGGGACGGTAACACTGGCACTGTCAGGGTTGGGTTGTCACGTTCACTGGAATGCAAAGCCACTGGACAATGTCTTAAAGGCCTGGATGGTCTTGATTCTAGAAACAGGAATGCATCCATTCTCCCCCAATTTTATACAAAAAAACCTGGACCGTCCTTAAGCACGCCACATGTGGGAGTTGAAGTTAATGTTGGTGAATGGCAAACATGCCTCTGACACCCATTTGGATCATATTTCATTGCAAAAGGATTCTCTTCGTAGAGACTGCCACTGATTATACGCTCAGGGCCTATTTTCCATGCTCAGAGATAAAGTTTCCTACTTCTTTTTTTACAAAAGCTACAGAACCTCAATATGCTTGCTATTTTTGGGCCCAGCCCTGTAAATCTTGCACCCATGAATAAGCCTTATTCATGAACGTTCTCATGTCATGAGAAAAAGCTTTTATGGAATCATCTTTTGTAAGTACTAGTGAAAAGCTAAGCCAGATAGTACCTAGATAAGACAGTGATGAATACATGTAATAAGTTTCTGTATTTATAGCCAGACCCTAACACCCACAAAATGACCATACGTATTGTGTAACAAACAAATGAAGAAGCCAATTTCTGAAGACCTACTTGGACAACGCAATTATTCTTTTCAATGCGTAAAACTTGAATAGGGCTCTGGGAATTAGCAACATAAAAATAACGAAGACGGTGATGAATTTAAAATGTTCTCCAAACAAGAAATTGAGGAAATCTTTAGAGAGGTCTTGTGGTGAACTTGATAAATCTTTCCACAGTTTTTAATTTTGAGTATTAGTTATTTCATAATCTACAGTGCTTACTTAGCAACTGCTACAGGCTACTGAATAAACTATCATGGCAACACACAGCTTTTGCCATAGGCCAGGATCACGAAACTACATGTGGATCATTTGTCATCCTGAATGTGCCTATGCTGCTGTTATTTTATAACTGCAGATCTCAAGATGATTAACAACGCTGGATGTTCATCAACCTTATTTCGAAAATGGAGTAACTGTGAGGTAATGAGATGAAGAAATTCGCTTGATATCATTGAATCAATTAGTATCCGTACAAGGATTAGAATGCATTTCCTTATCCCTATGCCATCCGTAATCCACCGCACAAGAACGCCCAACACACTTCTTATTACCATTCACATGTTTCAACAGACTAGAGCATCAAAGGACTAGATATTAAATCTTCTTCACTTTTCAGAGGTTTTTTTAACAAACTCTTTTATGACTAAAAAGAGGACTTCAGCACTTGGAGAGAAAAGCCCACGGTGTGCGCTCTCTCACTGTACTGTTCTGTTCTCACAGATCTACCTCTCTGTTCCCTCACTCCGTCCCTCTGAAGAACTGTGAGTCCAACCAAGCGTTAAGGCCTGCACTGACATTGCTATGACAGATTTTTGTGGTTTGTGACCCTCACAGGAACACAGTACGTAGCCAACACAGCTGTGATACAGGATTTTGCATTTCTTCTTGTTGAATTTCCTAAAGGCCACCGCTTCAGCCTCTGTATTTCTGAGTGGCAGCTCTGCGCATTTTTTCCAGTGATAATGATTCAGATTGTGGCTTATTGCAATGAGAATCCTTCAAGCACAAAGACAATGTCCTGTTTCAAGGCTGGCTTTGCTTGAGTATGGACAATTGTTATTTTGCTTCAACTATCGTGGCTTTTTAGGGACTGAAATTCAGATTCTTCAAAAGCTCAAACAAATTCAAGACAAGGATCATATTTACACAGAGGTGATTTCCCTTCATATAGAAGTGTGGGGTTTTGTAGTCCTTTGAAGCTTCAGGAAGCCACTGAGGAGAATAAAATAAGAACATATAGCCATTTCCTTTCTTGGGCCTTTTTTTGAGGTGGGTAATCAAATCTTTGGTGGGTGGTTGACATATGGTTAAAAAAAATTGTGGTGGAAAATGCAAATGTAGGAAATTGAAGCAACTGATAAGCAAATCAAATTTTTTATGGATATCCGCTGAATATTTCTCAGGTCCTTTGTGTCACCAAAAGTCAATTTTAACAGAGTCAGACTGTGTACAATTTCTGTGTTACTTCCACTTGATAGTGCAGTTGGTCCAGACAGATACCAGCACAATTAAGAACAAGGTTTGCCTTACTAGTGAATTGTCTTTGTCTTATTTAATGAATTTGGAAGCACTCTGGATATCAAATTTCTTTGCCTCTGTTGTTTTCTTCTAAGCACCTTTACAATGCACTATTGTAAATTTTTAAAAAACTCTGCTAATGCTCATAAAATTTATGAAGAAAGTGCTGAATTACTCTTTTCTTCTTGTTTTAGAACCTGTGAAAATAAGCTCATAAAACTCTAACACATCTTTAACTTCCATGCCTTCCAAGATGTTCTGATACTTTTTCTTTGCAACACAGCATGGAGGAGACTGAGGACAAGTGCTTTCAAGTTTACTCATTATCTGAGCTGTGATGTCAGCTTGTAATTCAGGTTCTGTGTCATCTGGGAAAAACTCTAAAATGCTCATCTCTGCCCCCTGCACCCACTCAGATGTGGTATCAGATTCTGATCACTTTCATCATTCAAACTTTTAGTTGTTATTTGAATTAGCATAGTCTAGATAGATTCCTTACAGGCCAGACTGTTACTATGCTACTATGCTATATATTACCCAGCTTTTCCTGCCCTGTATTTGTAGACCACCAAATGGCTTAATTTACAGTGTGTTATGCCTTATAAACATAACTTCAAAATAAAGGAAGAAGGGTTGTCCTGCAGTCATGGTCTTACCATCAGCACCCTGTCATAAAGCTTTTTCTTTTACAGTTGAGTGGGTTAGTGCCAGAAACTACTGCAGAGAGGAATTCATCCAGGCTGGAATGAGGGTCAGCGGGGACTGTGAGGGTGTGGCTTTTCCTTTCAGTATTTCAGCAAGATGAGGCTGAAAGGTATTCAGTCTAATGATTTACAAAGCGAAAACAGGGTTACAGGGTTCCTATCTACGTGCAACTGCATGTGAGTCATGGAAGGAAGTACTACACAGTAGACATTCTACAGGGTAAAGTCATATGAACTTGTCACTTGGGGTTTCTTGGTACATAACACAAGTCTCCGTCAGGTTCCTGTTGCTGACTTTATTTCACGTCCCACAGCTTGTCTTTGTGAATACTGGCCAAGTAAAACCCCAGATCTAACTACTGTTTTCAGTTATGCTGATGTGACCTAAATGCACATTCTATGTAAAATTTCTAGCAATCTGCTAGGAAGACAGAAGACTTTGGCTTGCAGTTCTCAAAGTGCTGTGCTCGACAACTTCGGTGACCGAGCATGAGACCACCAGCTGCAGCAGCACTGACTACCAGCAGAGAACCTTACGCCAGGGACCTAGCAAATCTCCTGCTGCTGCCACACAGGCAAAGGAGGAAGCAGGAGTGAGAAAGAAAATGCAATAGGGAAAGATATAAACGGAAAATGTGGGAGCACTGAAAGCATATCCTTTCTCCTTGCACAACTTTATCTCCAGGTTTCCAAGTTTCTGCTCCGCATCATCTCTGTTATAAGCAGAACCTTGTTTCCCTTCTTTCTGAGAACACACAAAGAAAAATAGGCTCAAAAATCCTTTAGTAATTTAACGCTTAAAATCACTTTTCCCCCCATATCCCACATGGTGTAAATGCATCTGCGAATGATGCAGAAACAACAGACTAGTGCAACATGTATTATACAATGCACATAAATGTTCAAGATAGATTACACAATGCACTGTTTAGTGTTCACAGTGGTAGGCAAGAGATCAAGAAATCCTAGATTTTAATTTTACTTTCGACACTAGGTTGGTCTGC